ACTTCTGCCAACAACCTGAATGAGGTAGAAAAGGATTCCATGCCTCGGAGGAGAGCATCTCCTTCTGTCAACTTGACTTCAGCCATGTAAGACCCTGAGCAGAGAAATTAGCTAAGCCAACCTTGGACTTCTAACCTACAGAAACTGTGAAATAATAAATCTGTGCAAATATGTATGTTTTAATTGTGGTAAACTATATACACCAAACATTTGTCATTTTAACCATTAAAAGCGTACAATTTGTGGCATTAATTACATTAGCAATACTATGTAACCATTATCACTGTTTCCAAACTTTTTCATAACCACAAAGAAAAACTCTGCTACTATTATGCAACAACTCCTCATACCCCACCCCACAAACCCAGCGTCCAGTCTAGTAACCTCTTTTTTCTTTTTTTTTTTTTTTGAGATGGAGTCTTTCTCTGTTACCCAGGCTGGAGTGCAATGGCAGGATCTCAGCTCACTGCAACCTCTGCCTCCCAGATTCAAGCGATTCTCCTGTCTCAGCCTCCCAACTAGCTGGGAATACAGGCACCCGCCACCACACCCGGCTGTTTATTTTTAGTAGAGACAGGGTTTTACCATGTTGGCCAGGCTGGTCTTGAACTCCTGACCTCAGGTGATCCACCCACCTTGTCCTCCCAAAGTGCTGGGATTACAGGCGTGAGCCACTGTGCCTAACCAGTAACCTCCCTTCTGTGAATTTGCCTGTTCTAGATGTTTTACATAAGTGGAGTCATACAGTATTACCCTTTTGAATCTGGCTTGTTGTGCTTGGCACAACGTTTCCAAGGTTCATCCACATGGTAGCATGTCAGAACTTGGTTGCTTTTTATGGCCGGATAATATTTTGTTGCACGCATAGACCATTTGTTTCTTTCTCTCCGTTCATCTGTTGATGGACGACTGGGCTGTTTCCGCCTTCGTGGCTGGTGTGAATAATGCAACAAGAATATTGTTGCACAAGTATCTGTTTGAGTCCCCGTTTCCGATTCTGGAAGTGGAATGGTTTGATCCTATGGTAACTTTTCAGTTAGCTTTCTGAGCAACCTCCAAACTGTTGACCAGGAGTTCTAGTTTCTCCATGTCCTCACCAACACTTACTATTTTCCTCTTTTTCAATTGTAGCTGTCCTGCGAGGTTTCAAGTGATACCTCTTTGTGGTTTGGACTGGTATTTCCCTAATGGCTGATGATGTCAGGCGCCTGTTTATGTTCTTGTTGGCCATTTGCGTATCTTCCTTGGGGAAACACAAGTCTTTTGCCTGCTCTTTAATTGGGTCGTTTGTCCTGTTGTTGAGTGTAGGAGCTCTTTATGTTTTTTGGAGCCTCTGTTTGTGGTAACTTGTTGTGCGGCAGGATTAATACACTAACCCTATTATTAACTGTGAAATCAAGTTTCTTGTAAACTTACAGGAAGCTATCTGTTTTTTCTATATTGTGGAATTGCCAGAACAGCAAGAACAATTGGTTCCTTGGAGGTTAGAGAGAACTTTCTTGAGCACCTGGCTTGACCTGATTTTTTTTTTTTTTGGAGGTAGATTTTTGACAACCTTTTTTCAAATTTAGATTTTCTGTGTCTTCTTGAAGTAATGCTAGTGCACCTGTTGGTTACTTGCAGAATTAGACATAATGATGCTTATGCAGTGCCTTTACATAGTGCTTGGCACATGGAAAGCACTCAGAAGTGTTAGCTGTGCTGTTGTTATGAGATTTCTCTCCTTGTCCTGGAGTTCAGTTACCCAGCTGTGTCTAAGATGTGTCTTAGTCCAGTTTGTGTTGCTATAACAGAATACCACAGACTGAGTAATGTATAAAGACAAAAAATTTATTTCTCACAGCTCTGGAGGCTGGGAAGTGCAGTATCAAGCTGCCAGCATCTGACAGGGCCTTCTTACAGCATCCCGTGGTGAAAGGCAGAAGGGCAATGCTGGAAGTGAGGACAAAGTCGTCCTTTGTCAGAAACCCACTCTGGTGATAACAAGCCCCCTCCACTGCTGTCCGGTGGGACTGTCTGTGATGATGGAGTTGTTCAAAATCTGCACTGATCAATACGGTTGCCATTAGCCACATGTGGCTTTTAAGAACTTGAGTGACTCGTGTGACTGAGGAACTGAATTTTTAATTTTCATGAACTTTATTTTTTTGTTGCTGTTGAGACAGAGCCTCACTCTGCTGCCCAGGCTGGAGTGCAGTGGTACAATTTCAGCACACTTACTGCAACCTCCACCTCCCGGGCTCAAGTGATCCGCCTACCTCAGCCTTCCAAGTAACTGGGACCACAAGCACGTGCCACCATGCCCGCATAATTTTTGTATTTTTTTTTTTTGTAGAGATGGAGTTTTGCCACGTTGTCTAGACTGGCCTTGAACTCCTGGGCTCAAGTGATCCGCCTACCTGTGCCTCCGAAAGCACAGGCATAAACTATTCATGCATGACCTGAACTTTAATTTTTTTTTTTTTTTTTGAGATGGAATTTTGCTCTTGTGGCCCAGGCCGGAGTGCAGTGGTGCGATCTCAACTCACTGCAGCCTCCACCTCCCAGGTTCAAGCAATTCTCCTGCCTCAGCCTCCTGAGTAGCTGGGACTACAAGCATGTGCCATCATGCCTGGCTAATTCTTTTGTATTTTTAGTAGAGACGGGGTTTCACCATGTTGGCCAGGCTGGTCTTGAGCTCCTTGTTGGGGTCACTACTTGTGAAGTCTCCTCACATGGGGCACCACTCTTGGGGTCACCACCTGCGGGGGTCTGTCCGGCAGACCCTGACTCAACGACAGATGAGTACACTAACACACAGATAACGATGCTTTTCCAGCTCTGCTGAGTGTCCAGGCCACTCACAGACTCTGTGGAGAGTGCTGTAAACAGTTGTGACTGCTGGTCCCAGGCAGCCCCTACTGCAGGCTTTTATTTAATGTATCAAAGGACAAGGGTCTTTGGATAAACACCACTAGAGGGTAATTAACTTCTGTGGACCCCCTGAGTAGAAGGCAGTTAAGCACCTGCAGTAAATCAAAGGTCAGTCTTAGGATCACATGAGTAAACAAGCTAGCTAGGTAAACTCCTCTATGCTCCTTTGTATTTGCACCCTAATCTCTCCGGCTCCTGCAGAGAGACGCTGGCTGCCTTCAGCCAGATTTATTGCTGGAGCTTATGCAACCCCCCAGGCCTTCTAAGAGGCTTTGTGCTTATTATAACTAAAATTTTTCCCAGTAGCCTGACTGAATCCTCACACCCCTGACCTCAGGTGATCCTCCCACCCCGGCCTCCCAAAGTGCTGGGATTACAGGCATGAGCCACTGAGCCCAGCTCCTGAGCTGTAATTTTAGTAGCTATGTGTGGACACACAGCTGGCAGGCACTGTGTGGAGCTCTGTCATATTATAGAACATTCTATAGTGTGAATATGTTTCTGCTTATTTGTTTGTCCCCTGTTGATGGGCCTTTAGGTTGTTTTGAGTTTTTGCTTTTGCAAATAAAGTTTCAAGGAATATGCTTAAATACGTGTTAGCAGCGGTGTGCTGTGATACTATACAGCTTTTTATTAGTGGTTGTGTACTGTTGAAAACTGTTGCCTTTCTGGTTTTTTGACCCTTCCCCAATGTGGAAAGATCAATTCCTCCAACGCTGTCAGTTTCAAGGCTGCCATTGTGGTTTGCAGGTGTGCACGCGACTGGGCTTGGGTTAGAGCTCAGGGAGTTCTGGCTTCCTCACGGAACCTTTGTATCACAGAGGTCCGCAGTGGCACACCTGGCCACGGGAAGGACCTGAGCCCAGGCCCCAGTGGGATTAAACAATCCACAATCCTGCACGTGCAGTAGCCACAGAGCGAGGTCTTCAAGGCCTGCGCATGTGTGACGGGCGTGTAGAAAACAGCACACTAAGCTTGAGGTAACCCAACTCCAAGAAAGGCAAACAATCAAATGAGAAAGGAAATGTGACCGTCCGTACACGCTGCGTCATGGCTCTAACTGTCCCAGTGTACCGCGGTGGCAGGCAGGCATCAGGTGTCTGTGCCCTTCACTCCCTGCTGTTATGCCTGTGGGTGCTTGACGTTATGTGGCAAAAGAGATTTTGCAGATATAATTATTGTTATGGACCCTAAAATGGGGAGATTATCCTGGATTATCTGGTGGGCTCAATCTAATCTTTTGAGTCCTTAAAAGCAGAGAAGTATCTCCATCTGGGCTATTCTGAGAGATGCTGTAGAGGAAGTCAGAGGGGCACAGAGACTCAACGCGTGAGAAGTGTATCCAGCTAGCTTTGGAGGTGGTGGGGCAAGGTGGCTCCTGGAAGCTGAAACAGCCCACAGAAAACAGGGACCTCGGCCCTTCAGCTCCCAGGAACTGGAATCTCTCAACACTCGGAACGGGCCTGTAAGTGGATTTTCCCCCGGAACCTCTGGAGAAGAGCCCAGGTCAGCCCACCCCTTGGTTTTGGCCTGTGAAACCTGCTGAGCCTGCCATTCTTCCAGCTTACAGAACTGTGAGATTATAGATTTGTGTTGTTTTAAGCTGCTGAATTCGTGGTGATTTTTTACAGCTGTGATGGAAAACTGATACACCACCTAATATCAGTTTATCCAAAAGCGCGTAGAGGTGATTCTGTTTGGTGGGGGTGAGCACTGAAATAAAACTGAATTCTCACGTTGCATGACAGGAAATCAAAAGATTATATTTAAACCTTTTAAAAATAGCAACATAAGCGTCTATAAAAATATGGCAGTAAACATTAAAAGAAACAGCGAGAAGTATTATAAGTGACTGCGTTTAGAGAGCAGGACTTGGGAACGATGGGGCCGGGACCGGTAGTTTTCAGCTGTGACCTTGGAGAGAACCACGTGACGTTTAAATGCACATTCCTGTGCCACTGCAATGAAAATGAAGGGGCCCCACCACCCCATGTCAGATGTGCCCATCTCTCTCAGGGCCTGAGCAGGTGCGGTGGGGGCTGCCCCTGCCTGCCAGGGCGTGCGGCACCCTCCTCTCTACTCCCCAGGGTGGAGGAGAGTGGCGGCAAGCTCCTGGAGTCGGAGAGGAAGCTGCAGGAGGAGCGGCACCGCACTGTGCTGCTGGAGCAGCGGCTGGAGAAGACGCGCCTAGAGCCAGGGAGGGCGTCAGCCTCCCAGAGAGCAGCCCCCAGGACCAAAACAGGTAGGGGCCAGGGCAGGAGGCCCCGTGCAGGGGCCGGGCCAGCCCGTCAGCAAGTGTGTGGGAGGCAGAGCCTCCGTCAGGGTGGAGCTCTGCCTGTCCCCGCTGCGGGGGTCCTCTTCCCTAGGCCTCCCGGTCAGAAGCAGGAGCCCCAGAGCTCCACTGGCCCATATGGCCTTGGCCCGGCCACCTGGAAGCTCTCAGCATGAGGTGGCAGTGCCAGTGTCCCTGGCCACCACCACCCCAGCCCTCAAAGCTCTGTCCTGAGCTGACTTCATTCAAAGTGGCCATGGGCAAAGCTGGTATGCTGGGGAGGCCCATGCAGCAGCGGCTGAAGCAGGAGAGGAGTCCCTTTCTACCTCCTGCAGCGGCCCCGCTGACAGAAGCAGGAAGTAGCCTCACCAGAAGTCTGGGGACCCGAGCTCCCTGTTTTGTGGCCCCACTGTCCTCAGCATGCAGCTTCTGTCTCCTGGCCTACAGAGACTGCTGCAGCTTTCCCAGCAGCAGCAGGAAGGGGAGGAAGGAGACAGACCGTCCTTACCGTTCAAGGTCGCATGTGCTACTTCTGCTCTCATCCCACCGGCCAGATCCTGGACAGCTGGGCATAGCCGGGGCAGAGGGGCGCTAGGAAATGCCGTCCAGATCCTAGACAGCTGGGCATAGCC